GGTAGTGGCAGGGAGGGAGAGGGAAGGAGAGGGAGAGAGAGGGAAGGAGAGGGAAGGAGGGGGAGAGAGAGGGAGAGAAAAAGATGAGGAGGTGCAGTGAGGCCAACCGAGAGACAAGTCAAAAACAAAGATGCACAGAAAGAGACAGAGAGCGAGACACACACCTGAACAGACGGTTAGCCAGCGTCTGCATAAAAAAAAAAGAAGGGAATGTGACTTGACTTGAGAGCCTTCGAGCGTCTGCGGTAGCAGACAAGCGCAGACACGACACACCGTCTTATCCCAAGCTTGCCGAGAACACCTTACCCGCTGCGGTGCGAGCCTTGTCTGCGACAGCTTTTTGTATCTAAGCACCGAGGTCTCGGTAGGAGCTCAAAACTTCATGGACGAACATCAGACCACCCCCCCTGCTTTTTTTCCCACCCCGTCTTACCCTATCGCCATCCCGCCCCCCCCCCCACACGCCTTAGGCGATAGGATAGATGGGCTAGGAAAAGCACTACAGAGCCACCTTTGGCAAAGTAGGAAGGGACGGCTGGCCATCGGTGATCGGTCGTGCGGGAACAATGCTCCGTCCTCTCGAGGACGCGTGGTCAAAAAAGGCAAAGCAAACCATGAGAGTACGCCCACCCCCGCCCCCCCACCTTGAGGGCCGACAAGTCGTTGTTGAGCGCGTGGCCGATGATGACCGTGTGCGGACAGCAGATGCGCGAAATAGCGACTTGCGCGTGCCTGTATCACGTGCAGGGACGATTGACGGGGCAACAAAATACGAACGGCTTTGACAACGAAAATATATATATATGTGTGTAAAATAATTATATACGTGTGTGTTCTTGTATTAAATTAACTCATTTTTGGGTTTTCGAGGACAAATAGCCAAGGTTTTCGAGGTGATGCCATCAACAAAAACAAACATTCACAAGGCGCCATCACTGTACAGCAGTCTAACCTGACAACCCTTCTTTATCCGAGATGCCACAGAACTACCTTCCAACTGCGAAGGCGTCACAAAGAAATCCCCCGCTCCTCCGAGTTTTTTGTTTTCGTCCTATTTTTTTCCGTCGAGATCGTTATTTTCCTTAGAACGCACCCCGATGTCATTTTCATCCGCAGATAAAGAGTCCGGGATGATAAACATGCAACAAGATTAGTGAGCTATTGCTGTATGTTGTCTTCTTGGTAATACCCCGCACCGTGAACACACCTTCCTCAACCTCCCTGACCCAACGTCCAAAAAAACGCCGGAATTATCCACAACAGAATATTGTAGAACGTCCCTGGAATCTTTCGTAGTTCTCAGCCCCCTCTTATCTCTCTTGCACGACGGTTTATTAGCAGTAGCAGGCACTACCTTCTTTTCTACGATTTCGCGAGCAGTCTAGATCAACATCTTTCGTACTACCAGTTCGGACGTACCTGTGTGTGAACATGACGCCCTCCAAGTGCTCTGGGGCAACGCCGTGGATGTCAGTGCGCCAGTCAACTACGGGGTTACCCGGGCGCACGAGCGTGTCCATGAGCTTCTCCCCGTCCTCCCCCCTGACGATGCTCAGTCTCAACAGCTCCTTGCCGTTGCGTTCCTTGCTCAACGGATCCTGAGGTGCATGACCAGCGCGATAGTGACATACGGGAGGCGGAAGAGAGAGAGAGGGGAGAGAGAGAGAGAGGAGAGAGAGAGAGAGAGAGAGAGAGACTTGAGGGTCAACATTCTCTCGTCGAAGAAAAACCGCCGGAAATTGGTTGAGTCTGTGTCTTTTACACTACCGCAGCAGGAGGCAGGACAAACAACAGATCAACCGAAGCGAGATACAAACAGCAACACATACGCGTACAAAACAAAACAGACATCGATACTCCTGCATCGTGTCGTACACCAGGTGTGGAACAGGGAAGCCAGCGGAGCAGCATGGCACACCGCCACCACCACCACCAATTCCACCAGCAACAGGAGCTAGAAACTACAGTAATCATAAGTCTTACCTCGCTCATGCACATCTCGCAATCCAGGGCTATGACCTGGGGCAGGCCGGGGCAGGAATCTCCGCAGGGGGACGCCGTTACCCAAGTCGCGTCGGTCTCGAAGCTGTAGTTCTTGGCGAATTTAGGGTGAGCACGAGTGCGCTCTACGAGACCCTGTTTTTTCGTTAAAAAAGAAGAAAAATACATGATCGGAATACTGCGATATGCAGCTCTGCAACAATTGCGCGAATGCGGTTCAAACTGGGAGTTGGTAGCTTCTGCTCCATGAGTAGTGTTTGTTCGACAACCTGTCCTATTTGCCGTCTCTTCCTCTACACAGGCTTTCAGGGACGACAACGAAAGGCCCGGGGTCTGATTGCAACAGACATATGGGACATCAATCTGCGGACTTGAGTGGGAGCCCTGAAACTACCACCTTGGCAACCTCCCCATCACCTGCCAAACATCAGCCTTCGGGTGAGGAATGCTCGCCGGAGCAACCACCGCTGCCACCGCCGCGGGCTTCTCCTCCTTGTCCTTGTCCGCCGCCGCCACGAACGGGCTGATGGGAAGACCGTCGAAAATCCCGGCACCTGCTGCCGCCGCAGCAGCAGCCGGGGTCTCTGACCGGCCGCGCTTTCTCTTCCGTCGAGACGAAGGGCTCTCGGTGGCTGCTCCCCCGTCTACCGCCGTCGGCGCCGGTACCGCCTGCACAGCGGCTGGCGGCGGCGGAGGCGGTGCGAACGGAAGCATCGGCATCACCGCGGCGGCAGGGGCCGCAACGGCGGCAACGTCGACCGCGGGGGCGACCGGCGAGGACGCCGGCTTGCGCTTCTTGGACTTCGGCGCGGTGGCGGCTGCCGCCCCCGCCGCCGCCGCCACGGCTACCGGCGAGGCCGGCGGGGGCACAACGGCAGCAGGCGGCACCGTTGCCGTCGGCGGCTTGGCGTGCCCTCTCGTTCCCCCGAACCCGCCCCTCTCGACGCCCTGGTGCAGGTACGGGCACAGCGCGCCAACCTGGCAGCCCTTCTTCTTGTTGAAGAACGAGCATACCCTGGTCGTAGGACGCGAGGCCGTCGCGGGCAGCGGAGGCGTCGCCGGCGTTGACATCTTGGGCATTTGTCGGAACACCGGGAGCGGCAGGCCCCCTACGGCCCCAGCCGGAGCTGGCGTTGCAGCCGGGGCGGGAGAAGCTGTTACGTCCGGCAAGGCGTTCGGAGCACGATAAACGAAACCGCATTGAGAGGCAGGTGTCGCAGGGACAAGGGGTCATCGGCCGCTTGGTGTCGGTGTCCACTACACGCGTGGGGGTGGTGGCAGGCGGTGCATGCACAGAAAAAACACCTTGAGCCTCGACACATGGGGACTAAACAGGGTCTTCTTTTTACGGGCTTCCTTACACAGTAGTTATAAAATACATCATACATACAAAGTACTTGATCATCTTGTCTTACCTGGTGTTGGAGCCGGTACGGCACTAGGGGCGGCCGCAGGCGCCGCCTTCTTCTTGTTCTTCCGCTTTTTTTTCTTCGAGACAGGGAGAGCGGGGGCGGCGGGGGCGGCGGCGGCCGCCACAGGAGTAGGTGCTGCGGGGCCCGGGGCAACCGCGGGAGCAAGAGGAGTCGGCGCCAAGGCCAGCGGAGGCGAGGGGTTCGCGGCACGTGCAGCAGCAGCGAGCGCGGCAGCGCTTGCAGCAGCGGCGGCAGCGTTCGCCGCGTTGGCGTTTGCCGTGGCCAGGGCGGCCGCCGCCTCCGCCTTTCTCGCCGCCTTTTCGCGAAACGCTTGCTTCTTTGCCTTGGTCGTGGACAGGGTTTGGCCTGCAGCCACCGCCACGGGCACAGGGGTACCCGCGGGGGTAGGTGTGGGTGCTGCGGGCGGCGCCACAGGTGCTGGTGCTGGTGCTGGCGCTGGCGCTGCTGCTGGTGTGGTCGCTGCTGCGGCGGCTGCTGCCTCCCTTGCTTCTCTCTCCTTCTTGGCCTTTTTCTTGGCTTTCTTCTTCGCAGTTCCCTCCGCCTCCTCAGCCGCAGCCGAGTGACCGTTGGCCACCGGCGCTGGTGCTGGCGCTGGTGTGGTCTCTGCTGCTGCTGCGGCTGCTGCCTCCCTTGCCTCTCTCTCCTTCTTGGCCTTTTTCTTGGCTTTCTTCTTCGCTGCTCGCTCCGCCTCCTCAACCGTAGCCGAGTGACCATTGGCCGATGGCGGCGTCACCGAGGCGGCTGGTGTCGGCGTTGGGGTGGTCAGAGCTGCTGCCGCCGGCTTGGCCTTGGCGGCTGGCGGGGGCTGCGACTTGGCTGAAAGGCTGCCAGCAGTCGGCTGGTCGCCATGCAAAAACTTGCAGCTCGCCGCGTTCCTGCATCCCGCCGCAGAGGCATAGAAGGCGCACGGCTTCGGCCCGTCACCGTCTGACCTCACGAGCACATATCGGTTCGCCATGATCGCAGTGCTAGAGAGGTACACAGAGAGCACCACAGAAAGCCCGCACAATGCTGGCGCTGCCTCGAAGTGATGGACATGTCCAGTCCATACGCATTTGAACCCAAACGCCAAAACTGATGGAACTCCTGGGATTGGTTCCCACCAAGCGCTTGTTCCGGTTCGTGCCAACAGTAAAAGTAAGCGGCGGGATTTACGGCGGGATTTACGCACCTCTTTTTTAATAATTACACACACAGAAAGACTACCCATTCGAGATATACCCACAGTCGAACGGGATGTGGTGGAGTCTTTTCAGTGAGTGGAGGAAAACCGGCTGGGTACTGGACTTATTTCGATTCTATACATGGTGCTACGTACAAAAACGTCTGTAGGTAACTTACATTTTACAATACATCTGATGTAGTTCTCTACTGGGTCAACGACAAAATATCGGGGAGAATCCCTCCGTTGTGTCGTGTATTATTGTAAAATGTAGGGAAAACGACCCAACAGGGTATACCCTGGTCGAAAAGCGACACACCTGGGTACACAGTCATTAACAGCAGTAAATGCATTCATATGATTGTCAGCGCCCAATTTCACCCCGGTACGTCCGAAAAGGCGCAGGGTATACCCTGCTGTGTCTACTTTTCTCACCAACTGTACCCTGTTTTCGGAAGTGTACCCTGACCTGACGGGAAATGAGACCCATTCATCAATCATTTCCCCCGCAGGAATCTTCTCAACTCCTTTTCCTCTCCAACCATGGGGTACCAAACGGCTAATCTTCCCACCCAATAACAACCATGGCAACGCGGCAGGAATCAGTTTCCGCCCCTACCAAATAACACCAACCATTAACTCTTCCGCTCTAAATCAACAATGGCCGGGCACTACCCCAGCACAGTTGTTCCGTTTGGAAACATGCACACGTGTACAATACCCCGTGCACCACTGCTTGCTGCACTCTACTATCTATATGCGACATGCACGGGTCACGCTACGAAAGCGAGACCGATCCAGCATGGTTGACATGCATATATATATATGCATGTATATATGCATGTATGGACACAGCACTACACGGGTAACGTTGGGCGCCGCCACTCCCTCCTGCCTGTGCCGTGTGTGCGTGGGTGTGTTGTCTGTTGTGTCTCAATTGGCGATGTGTTTCTTGCTTGAACTACTACTACTGCGGTAACAGCAGCGGTCGCGCTTACCAGCCGACCAAGCCGACCAACCAATCAATGTATGTAGTAAGAAGACGTCAGGCTTCAGCGGGATGAGCCGATGAAATACACACCGAGCACAGGGAGAGTGATTGAGTTGGACGACACAGTCCTGCTGCTAGAGTTGTTAGCACTCGCTACTCCTTCCATGATTGTTGTCAAGGGCGTGTCTGTGTGTGGTGTTGCTGCCTCTCTCCTCCGCCCGCTCAGCGCAGCGCCACACATCATGGGCACATGCATAAATATATATGCATGTCAACCATGCTGGATCGGTCTCGCTTGACCCGTGCATGTCGTATATAGATAGACTGCAGCAAGCAGTGGTGCACGGGGTATTGTACGCGTGTGCATGTTTCCAAACGGAACAACTGTGCTGGGGTAGTGCCCGGCCATTGTTGATTTAGAGCGGAAGATTTGATGGTTGGTGTTGTTTGGCAGGGGCGGAAACTGATCCCTGCCGCGTTGCCATGGTTGTTATTGGGTGGGAAGATTCGCCGTTTGGTACCCCATGGTTGGAGAGGAAAAGGAGTTGAGAAGATTCCTGCGGGGGAAATGATTGATGAATGGGTCTCATTTCCCGTCAGGTCAGGGTACACTTCCGAAAACAGGGTACAGTTGGTGAGAAAAGTAGACACAGCAGGGTATACCCTGCGCCTTTTCGGACGTACCGGGGTGAAATTGGGCGCTGACCAATCATATGAATGCATTTACTGCTGTTAATGACTGTGTACCCAGGTGTGTCGCTTTTCGACCAGGGTATACCCTGTTGTGTCGTTTTCCCTAAAATGTATCCTTCACAGGGGACACGGCGCAGCGTTTATTGACAGCTTAGGAATAGTATGTAGAATTCATTGCTAATCTGTCTCTGACTCTTTTCTATGATAGAGATGGATTCGTTGTGTCATATTAAGAAAAAAAAAAAAATCATGGAAGATGGAACGAAGTCTTACAGCAGTACATCACTCGTTTTTGAAATCATCTACAGATTTTTTAATTTCACGGACAATAGGTGTTTCCCGCCGTTTTTTGAATATACAAAACGTATTTGATCCTTTGGGGTAACGCATCATCAGTGATGCTTACAGTAGATGAGAATGGTACACCTGGTGCATGGGAGGTAGGGAATAGCAGTCAGTTTTATCATGTTAGTTTGTTTCTTGTTGTGTTTGGTGTTGGTAAACACCATCAGTAGAGCATGGAAAGTTTTCAAATGATATTCATCCAATCAATGTGGCGGTATGCAACACGTGTAGCACCCTCCACGTCCGTGCCGAAAAATCAAAGGGAGGGGGAAGAGCGCATAGAACATGGATTATGATCGTGACCACAATATTGAAATTGTTACCTTCAGGAGAACGTCCAGCTTTCGTTTGAAAACACGCGCACACAGAGTTGGCTCGATCGAACTCTGTCTGTCCATCGTGGAGGTGTTCCTTGATCTCCGACCACTCCTATGTCGTGTGTGGTATAGGAAACGGTTGAACGGTAGGTAGGGTGGAAATCATGACTGGGTTGGAGGGAAGTACAATAAAAGAGTTGTTCAATGCGAGGAAAAAAACGACGCACGTATCTGAGCGCATACATACGCGCGAGAGGGAATAACGCTGGTACAAATGAACGGTCCAAATAATGTAAAAATCTCAGGCGTCGCCAAACGACGCATGATGTTTCGGTACTACTGTATACACATGACTCACGGTGTTGCATGTGGCGGTGACGAAGTAAGACGGATGGTCGAGATGTCGCAAAATGGTCATGGTTCCGGTAAGTTTCTTGGATTGGTCAGCAAATCCACCGCTGAAGCTCGACGGAATGATGATACGATCGGCGGCCGGAGATAGGTTCCCCGTTGCCCGGGGATCCGTAAAGCCGCCGACTTGAGGGGTACAGAGGTGCGGTACTTTCTTGGTTGAAGGCGTGGAATGTCAGACGCTGATCCTCGGTGCAACTGAAGACGATGGAGAAATCGTTCTCCAATGGACCAAGCTGTTTGAAACGAGGTTCTCTGGCCAATAACTGCGTTAGCCTTTGTGCGAGAGTAACTTTGTGCCCGATAGTGCTCTTTAGATCACGGTGCCAACCAGATACTACCCTCCGGGGAAAGCAAGACATACATCAAAGGAAGTCGTCCCTGTCGCACGCGGAAGTCTTGTTTGCCTCTCCAGTGAGAGTTCTGGTCATTGCTGTTCTGTCTTTCCGCATAAACACCGTTGGAGGTTGTATCGACGGCGACGATTTCGGATGAAGGCGCTCCCTGGGACGTGAAAGCCAGGGGATTGAACATGACGTTGGAAGCCCGCCTAAGAACATTTGTGGAAGAGAAGAATGGAAGGAAAAGAGGGATTGTGCGACGACATTGTGTGCAACGGGTCCGTGTCTAAAACGAAATGCCGATGTATGTACAATTTCTAGGGATTAGGATGAAACTCGGACGGTATGGAGGACTCGCTGAATAGATAAAATACTGATAACGAGCACGCGAGGGCGCTATGTACCTATTGCTCACGGTCGATCTCAGCCGCCCGAGATATGGTGAAACACACACACACGCAAGGCAGTTCCGAATTTTTGCATGACATGCTCATCCAAGTGACCGGCGTAGTTGGGGTCGTGCAGTAGCCTTTGTACGTTTGAATGCGTGCTCTCCCTGGCAGAATTATAAGTTCTGCAAGGTCAACGCAACTATGCATGGCATGGCAGAAAAACATATATATATTGGTGTATGGTAGTGGTAGACGTAGATTCTAAAAAGAAAAACGCACGTGGATAAAGTACAGGACGTCAATATTTCCATATCGGCGGGCACCAATCATGGGTGAGCATAAAATAAATTTGCTTCCATCGTAAGGCTCGTGCTTGTGATGGACACAGGACCTGTGCAAAAGTTCCCTTCTTGCGATGCCAAAGACATCCTAACGGCACACAGAAAAACTTTGCTCCCGCCTTCGTGTTACAATTCCAAATCGACAACAGCAACATCATATCAGCAAGAACATCAAGCAGTTGCAGACCGGGAGTGCAGGGCTCTCTGTTACACTAATGACACACGCCGCTGCTCTCTGTCACGCATTCTGCTGTACCTCTCGGTTGGCATGTGGTAACAATGAACCGTAGGTGACACAAGATACCACACCCCCTGTGGGACGGACTGTAGATGCTCTAGAGCAGAAACAACGGTGCTGCCGAGTAATGGCGGCGTTGGAAACAACCGTCTCATCCTCAGCTTTCCGGAAACTTGACGCACCCTACATACATTTTCCACGGACAGGGTAGTCTTCTTGCTGAACTTCATCAACCCACCTACATACAACGCCCAGCAACCACATTCGTGCCGCAGACAACGGCCTCGGTACTGGTCAAGAGCTACAATCTGCAGGGTCAGTCATGAAATTCGCTACGAGTTGCATCTCTGCACCCTTTCCGGATCCTACCTTTCTTTGCCTCTCCCTGCTTCAAAAGGTTGGTGTCCTACCCGGGCAAGAACTAGGTGCATAGCAGTCTCTTCCCCACCCAAGACATTGGTCTAGAGCAACAACATATTTGAAAACATCTTCAAAGAACGGAATTTGTCAAGCCGGTATATCAAATCGCGCTAGAAGTACGCCAGGCAGCCACGTTCGAAGAATGGAGTCCATCTCTTCGCGTATCTCCGCAGAAACTTCGTCCTCCCAGGTTCTGTTTGGGGCCTTACCTTGTCCACTAGGGTGAGGATCGCGATGAGCATCCTGCTGCCACTCTGGCAGGGTCGCGTGGATGTCTTCGATCCAGCGTGCGGGCAGCGTGAAACCC